ACCCCCACCACTACCACCACCACCACCACCACCACCCCCACCTCCACCAATCCGACCAGCAGTATAGCGCCTCACACGTAGCGTCCGTGACTGGGATAGCAAAGCGGCTCAGCGGGCGAGGGAAGCGAGGCCAGCCGACCAACCGCTCGACCATATACACATATATACATACACCAATATATATATATATATACATATATATATATATATGTGTGTATATAGGTATACAGGTATATATAGGTGTGTATATGTTGGCACACTGCTGAGGGGCACACAGGGGCTCGCGGCGTAGCGTGGTGTGGCGTGGCGGCCTTCACCTAAATCAAGAAGTCGTACGAGCGACGAAAGAAAGCTCTGTGTCGATGCTCGGATGAGATTTTCCCTTCTTCTTCTTCTTCTTCTTCTTCTTCTTCCTAATCTTCTTCCTCATCGCGTTTCGCGGCAGGTTTACAGTTCTAAGCGTTGTCCGAGAGAGAGAGAGAGAGAGAGAAAGAGAGAGAGGACGAGAGAAAGCGCAAGGGGAGAGTGAGGAAAGAGAGGAAACGGATAACGAGCGCGTAAGATGAAGCGAGAGAGAGAGAGGGCGAGAGAGGGAAGAGGAGAGTGAGAAGGTGGGGAAGAGTAGAGAAGAGAGAAGAGAGAGAGAGAGAGCGAGAGAGAGAGAGAGGAGAAAGGCAAACAGCACCAGACAGAACGACAAGAGCAGACAGATAGATAGACGATGAGATGAGAGAGAGAGAGAGAGAGAGAGAGAGAGAGAGAGAGAGAGAGAGATAGATAGATAGATAGATAGATAGATAGAGAGAGACAGCGACGATCTATGTCTGCGCATCTTTCCGCTCTCATTTCCTCATTCACCCGTCATAATATGCTACCGCCCTCGTCCGATCCCATCTCCATGCCAAGATGACAATCTCCAAGATTTCATTAACAATTTCATTTAGCATAGCTAACACAGATATCATCTGTCTTGTTGCGCGTCGCCTAGACTGACAACGAGCAGCAGACCACCCGGGGTTTTGCCGGCAGCCGGAGACGGTTGGAGTCCGTCTATTAGAGGTATTTTTTGCCGGTCAACATCTCGCTACTCTGTAGGCATCTCAAGCATGGACGAGTAACGGTATATGTACGGTTGTAGGAGCGTCATACGTACCAGGCACGCATTGCGTGGTTAGCGCTTGCAATATCGTATATTGCAATAAGTATAAAGCGGCATTACCATTTTAGGACGTATTTAGTATTTCGCTCGCGCATGAACTGTGGATCCACATCTACACGCACGAACGCACGCACGCACGCATGCACGCACGCACACATACACACAGACGCACGCACGCACGCACGCACGCACACACGCATACATACACCACACACACATACACACAGCACACACACACAACACACACCACACACACACACCACGAGGCCACACACACACACACACACACAACTCACACGACACATATTATATATAATAATATATATATATATATAAATATTAATATAAACGTGAATGTATGGGGATGGATGAGGTATGTGTGTGGTGTGTGCGTGTGTGTGCATCCCGATGGCCCATCTCTGATCGAGAATTCAAGGTTCTTTTTGCTCGGCGCGCGGGCCTCTTCGCTCTCTCGCTCTCTCTCCGCCGACGGGTGATTCTCCAGCCCGCCCGTACAGGTACCGTACTATTATCAAAAGTCCCGCGCGCAAATGTTTGTTTTTACGGCACGCCCGGATAAGCAGCATCCGCGCAACGCAACGCTACTGCAACAGCACGGGGACCACGCCGCACGCGAACACAGACACCCACACACACACACACCCACACACACAACACAGCACACACAGCGGCACTTGCACCTGCCGAGTCACAGCCGATGCACAAACGCACAAGGTAACCTGCGCACGTGAACGCTTCAAGAAAATGCCCAGGCGTACATACACCTGCTGCCGTTCCCAAACTGTTCCTGCTAGGGCACTATGACAAATACGACATATCGCATATACGCTCCTCCTATGAGCGCTAATTGTTATCAGGAAGATTCTCCTATGATACATATTGGCGATGTCAATTCGTGTCCGCTGTTACAGCTGAAATTTCACTCTTGCGTTCCTAATAGCGCTTCTCATCAGCTCCTATGATGCGGCCAACACATACCAACAATATTTGTCAGAGCGAAGAATCTTCGGCTATGACAAATAGTGTCATAGGAGAGGCGTATGTGGCGTATGTCGTATTTGTCATAGATGCTAGCAGAACAGGCTGCGGCTCTCGACTCTGCATGGCGTCTCTGGACTTGGCCTAATAGCGGGGTTCATACCCCTCAGGCTCTCTCCTGTGTTTCTTCTCCTAATCATGAGGTTCAAACGCGACTTCTCGCCACGAACACGAGAAGAGCCCAAGGTCACCGCTCAAGGTCACCGCTCAAGGTCACCGCTCATGGTCAGAACGGCGAGAAACAGCCAGAGGAATCCGCCGCGAGAGAGAAGCCGAGCTGCCTTCTCCCTCTTCGCCCATCATCGTAAAAACTTTCGACTATGCTCGTCGAAAAGATCTTAAGGGCGGAATAACAACAAGGGGGGAGGGGGAGGGGGTTTGAGAGGATGAGTTCGAGATTTTTTTTAAGTTTCTATAGTGCCCCCCCCCCCTCCTCCCACTCGTGACCCTCACCGCGCCTTCCACCGTGTCTTTGTGAGGGAGTTGTTTTAAGGTAAGTGTTGCGAAGGTAAGCGTTGTAAGATCGGATTAGCTTATCCCTGCAGTCGCGCGTGTTTGTGGGCGCCCATAATGGATGTTTGTTTGCATTGAGAGATTGCCACCAGCGAACGATTGCGAGTTTGAAAAGAGAGAGAGAGGGAGAAAGAGGAGGAAGAGAGATGGTGAGAGAGAGAGAGAAAGAGAGATAGAAGAAGGAGAGTGAGAGAGAAGAAGGAGAGAGAGGGAGAGAAGAGGGGGAGCGAGAGACAGCGAGACAGAGAGAGAGAAAAGGGAGAGTGAGAGACAGAGAGGGAGAGTGAGAGAAGAGGGAGAGTGAGAGACAGAGAGGGAAAGAAAGAGAAGAGGGAGTGAGAGACAGCGAGGGAGAGAAAAAGAGCGAGAGAGAGAGAGCGAGAGAGAGAGGAGCGAGTGAGAGAGATCGAAGGAGGCAGAGCGCGCAGAGAAAGAGAGAGCGAGAGAGAGAGAAAGAGACGATAGAGAGCGAGAGAGAGAGAGAGAAAGAGAGAGAGCGAGAGCAGAGAGAGAAGAGAGAGAGCAGAGAGAGGAGAGAGAGAGAGGGAGAGAGATAGAGTGTGAGAGAGAGAGACAGAGAAAGAGAAGGGAAGAATGGAGGGGCAAGAGCGGGAGGGAGGGAGCTAGAGGAATGGAGAGAGATAGAGATAGAAGTGGAGACGAAAGGCGGAGGAGAGACGGAGAGCGAAGGAGCAGAGACCGAGACAGCGACAAAATCATCGGCAGCCCGATAAAGCTGAAAGCCGGTAATAAGCCGCGGCAATAAAACGTGACGTGAAGAGAAAGTGCGCGAGCGTGCGTGACAAATGTGACACAGGTGTGACACACACACATCACACACACCACAACACACACACACACCACATCACACACACATACAGGTGAGCAGGAGTGTGGGATGGCGCATCGACGGCGCAAGCTAGCCAGCGAGCCCCGATTCTCTTGGTAAGGCTTCAAAAACAACTCAGCGCCTACACGCCACTCTACCGCTTACAGAATCTAAACGCGTGTCGCAGCCTACTCATCCATCTGTCTGCTGATCTACATGCAGTGCAGCGCGCCATCTCTCTCTCTCTCTCTGCTCCTCACTCTCTCTCTCTCTCTCTCTGCTCTGCTCGCTCTCTCTCAGCTCTCTCTCTTCTCTCGTCCTCATCTCTCTCTCTTCTCTTTCTTCTTATCTATTCTATCTATCTATCTAGTTATCTAATCGATCGTATGCTATCTATCTAGTCTATCTATGTATCTATCTCATCTATCTATCTATTTATCTATCTATCTATCTATCTATCTATCTTTACCGTATCATCAATTGACCTACTCTCTTTCTCCTGCTTTCTCTCTTTCTCTCTCTCTCTCTCTCTCTCTCTCCTCTCTCTTCTCTTTCTATCATTACTCTATCATCAAATGTTATCTCTCTTTCTCTCTCTCCTCTCTCTCTTCTCTCTCGTTCTACTCTCTCTCCACTCTCTTCGTTCTATCATTACCTATCATCAATTTATCTCTCTTCTCTCTTCTCTCTCTCTCTCTTCTCTCTTGCGTCGCGCCGGCGCCGCGCAGCGCTTCCGTCTCTCGCTGACTCTACTCAATTACCTATCAATCAATTTAATCTCTCTTTCTCTCTCTCATCTCTCTCTCTCTCTCTCTTCCTCTCGCGCGCCGCGCGGCGCTCTCTCTCTCTCTCTCTCTCCTCTCCGCTCTCTCTCTCTTCTTCCTCTCTGCTTTCTCTGCTCTCTCCTCTCTCTCTCTCTCGAGCTCTTTCTCTCTTCTCGCCGTTCTCGGTCCCGCCATTCTCTTCTCTCTCTCTGCTCTCTCTGCATCTGCTCGATTTCTCTCGATCATTCTGCTTTTTTGCCTCTCTCTCTCCCGCCTTGCTCTTCTGTGCTCACTCTCTCTGCCTCTCCTCTCCCCGATTCTCTCTCTCTCTCTCTCTCTCTCTCTTTCCCGTTCTCTCTCCTCTCTCTCCTCTCTTTTCTCTCTCTCTCTCTATCTCGCGCAGCGCGCGCTCGCACGCCTTCTCTCTGTTTCGCTTTTCTCGTCTCTCTCTCGCTTCTATATTCGCGCTGCCTCTCTCTCTTTGTTCTCTATCTCTCTCCAACTCTCTTTCTTTTTTCCCTCTCGCTTCTTCCTCTCTCCTCTCCTATCTTTCTCTCTCACCCATTGTTCTTTCTGCTCTAGCGGCGGTCTCTCTCCCCCACCCCCGCTCTCCACCCCCACTTCTCACAACCGCTCTCTCACACACTTGCCTTCTCACACCCAGCTTTCCCACACACTCTTGTTTTTCTCAGCACTCGGCGTGCGCGTAGCTAAGGCAACCATAACGAGCGCAAAAATTGACATCCAGAGCCAGCAGAGCAAAACGAAATATACACACACAACATATAACATGCGCTAATTATCCAATAAGCCTCCTGCCGTGAAAGGGGTGGGGGAGCTTATTCGCAAGTATATATCAATATATATATATATATAAGTAGTATATTATTATGTACATATATAAATATATAATGATATATATATACATATACAAGGCAGTGAAATAATAACTAAGTTAGATTATATATATTCATTCACTCCTGATATATCATACGCACACACACAGCACATATAGTATATATATATATATAAATATCATAATATATATAAACGCTGTGAACTATACGACAGGAGTTATCTCATGCATTCATCTCTAGCTCGCTCACCCGTTGCTCATGAATATATTATATAGACGCGCGACCTTTCATGCTACACGTACACGCATATTAGAATCCGAATTAAACCTAATTCGATTTACGTTATAATTAGATTAGTTGAACGCGGTTAAATTCGACCTGCGGCCGCTGGCGCACCGACCCCGTGTACGCACTCACACGCACGCACACACAGTTATATACACGCGCACGCACACATAGATACACACACACACGAAATCACGCACGCGCGCACACATACGCAAGCACGCACGCGCGCGCACACACACGCACGCACGCAAGAGAGCACGCTCGCACATACACTCTCCCCCCCCCCACACACACATACACACACACACAGACACAAACACTTACCAGGATCGTGCCGGCTTCGCTGGCTGCTGCTGTTGCCTTGGCGACCTGTCCGCATCCGCTCTCTCTGCTGCAACGACTTGTCGGCTGCTGCTTCGCCTCGGCAGACTCCGCGTCGCCTTGCCTCCGTCGCAGCGCCGTATCCGGCCGTACTTCCGCTCCGAGCCTTCTCTCACGTCCGTGAGCGACGTATAGCCCGACAACTGCCGACCGTATGCGTTGTCCGTGTGTCGCTGCCGACCGTATGCGTCGTCCGTGTGTCGATCCGTGTGTCGCTGCCGACCGTATGCGTCGTCCGTGTGTCGCTGCCGACCGTATGCGTCGTCCGTGTGTCGCTGCCGACCGTATGCGTCGTCCGTCTGTCGCTGCCTATTGTAGCCGTCGTCCGTGTGTCGCGGCCGACCGTACAGCGGCTCATACGTCTGCTGGTCGGCGAAGTACTGCGGGTAGCCGACGGGCATGTAGTAAGGTGAGAAGGCCTCGTACAGAGGTTCCTGCTGCTCGTAATAAAGCCTGTGGTCGTACGGCGTCTGGTAGGGGCTCTCGGCGAGCGGGTAGAGGCTGTCGACGGAGCCGTAGCGACGACCGTAGCGCGTCGGCGAGGAGCACGCCGCGTACGTCGGCTGCGGACATGCGTAGACGTCGGCAGCGGCGAACCTCGTGCGTGCCGACGACGTGTCGGGAAGACTGCGCGTGCTGCCACCGCACGGCGGCGGTCGGTCGTCGGACGGAAGCAGTTCGGGCAGCTCGTCCAGGGCCTCAAGCTGCAGATCGACCTCGGCAGCGTCATCGTTGTAACCATCGACGTCGTCGTCGTCGTCGTCCGCTCGATGACGGTCGGCGCGCGGCTGCTGTTGCCTAGCATTCGGCGCCGCGTCGGAGTCGGTGGCGACCTCTAGTGGAGGATCGTCGTCGTCGATGACGCCATGTTCAACAAGAGCGCCGCTTGAGCCGTCCTTCACTCGCAATATCCACGCACCGTCGGCATCGTCATCGTCGTCATACGTTGGCAGTTTCTTGTAATCGTCAGCGTTGGCGTCGGCCGCACCGCCCGGCGCGTGTAAGATCCACTCACCGTCGATGTTGCCATCGTCATGGGCGTCGTACGCCGGCCGCCTATCATCATCATCGTCATACGTTGGCAGTTTCTTGTAATCGTCAGCGTTGGCGTCGGCCGCACTGCCCGGCGCGCGTAAGATCCACTCACCGTCGATGTTGCCATCGTCATGGGCGTCGTACGCCGGCCGCCTATCATCATCATCATCATCATTATCATCATCATCATCATCGTCGGCGACGGCTGGAGCGTCGTGCGAGCGCAGGATCCACTCTCCATCTCCGCCGACGTGCGATCGGTCGCCTTCGCCAACGTCTGCCGACACGTCCGTCGAGCATAAAACCCACTCGTCGTGGACGTCGTCGTCGTCGCACGATGACGTCGGCAGCGACCAATCCTTGTTCGAGCTCTCTCCCGACGCCGACCGCTCTCGCGCTCCGGGAGAACTCCTCAAGGAGCTATCCTGCGATTCGTAACCCGTGCTGGCGCCGTCGCTGCAGCCACCGCCGACGAGGCAAATCTTGACGGTGCCGACGCAGCGGTCGGGCGTGCAGCTGTCGGCACGCACACTGTCGTCGGACGTAACGGCGTCGTCGCCACTCTCGTTGTTGTCGTCGTCGAGTTGGATGACGACGCGACCGCGCGGCGCGTCGCTAGGCGCGCTGTCGTCGGCCGGTGTGACGTCACGAACGTCGGCCAGTGTGATGTCACAAACGTCGGCCGGTGTGACGTTACTAGCGTCGGCGTCGTACTTGTAGATGGTCGTCAGAGGCGGGTTCTCCTTGCAGTACCAGTTGTTGTTGNCATCGTACTTGTGTGTGTTTCTTAGTAGCTATATGCATATGTTAGCTGATATTATATATTCTCTCTCTCTCTCTCTCTCTCTGCCTTTCTCTCCCCTCTCGCTCCCTCTCTCTTTTGTGCCGATATTCACACTTCGTCGTCTGACTTCGACCGTCGCTGTCGGCACGCCCGCACACGTGATCGCGACGCCGCCGCCGACAAAGGAAGCCGCTGCTTGGCAGGTAGACGACAGATGTTCGCTTGTTCTTCTTCTATCTTGCGTCGAAAAATAGCGACGTCGTTTTCTCAGAAATTTTAAGCCACGATGACTATGCGGGTCACGCCTCGCCTCTTCCCGGCGTCTCTCTCTCTCTCTGCTGCTTGGTCACACTCTCTTTGGCTCTTCAGCTGTCTCTGCTCTCTCTAATCTCTCGCTGCTCGCAGCTGCTAGGATTCTGGTCTGCTCTGGGTGCTGTGTGCGCGCCTGCTTCTCTGCTGAATCTGCTGACTCTCGTCTCTCTCTCGTCTTCTCCAATCTTTCTGAGTTTTCTCCAACCGATTTTATTTTTGCGCGGCTGGCGATTCATGTCTTTGCAGTGCTCATAGCTGCGCTCGTCTGCTGCTCTGCATCT